ATGTAAATAAAGGATAGTTAATTGGAGTAAAAGATATGAAACCTGATCGGAATTTAGTCTTTTCTAACTTTGGATTTTCCATTATTATTTTCTATCCTTATTTACAATTTAGACTGACGATTTCTATAGGACTGTTGGTATCAACACCTACTATGTTAAAACTACCGAATGGGAAATGACGAAAGAAAGTAAAAGACTATTAGTCAAGGTAGGAATGTTATCTTTGATTAGCAAACAAATAGCTTTTGTACAGCTTCAAGGCTTTGTACTCCTTGATATGAAGGCTATAATTAGAACTTAATAGCCGTATTAACATGAAACATAAGTCAACATAAATAGCCATAGTCCACTGATAGTGACGAAATTAATGTCGATGTATTTATGCCATTAGTTTAGAATAAGCTATTGCAGTAATTATATAGAAGTATAGATAGGCTGTGGCTTATAATTAAGAAATGTAGACGTCAAATATGACTTTATAATACAGTATGAATCGCTTAGAGCGGCAGAAAGGAACTGTTGCCAAAATTGAAATTCTTCTTGATATGAAGTCTTCGTTAATAATACCCCTTTAATCGCACGGTATAATAAGAAGTAAAATCTTACCTACATACACCTATCAAAAATAATTCCTTATATGAAATAATGAATTATGCACGGACTAATACAATATTAATATTGTTGAGCAAAAAGTGAGAAGCTGTCACCTGTATTTTATAATCTTTGTATTAAAAGCATATTTGTAATGCTCTACTAATAGCAAAAAATAATTGGAGAAGATCTACAGCCTACATATATTTAAACTTGATCTTATTTGTGAAACTATAATATGATTTTGATATAGAGCGGTAGAAGAGGAACTATTGCCTTTATTAAAAGTTTTATCGATAGCCGACGTGGAGTAGCGCCGTCTCCCATTTTGCAAAGACGAGGTATGAATAGTTTCCTCGGTAACCCACTTTCGGATAAGGATAACGTTGATGTCATCAATTATCCACGGCGTAATACTAGAGGAAGCGTAAATCCGGCCATCATAGTTAATCGGCAGGGTAAAATTCTAGATGAGGAAGGAGCAGGTAATGATAATCGACTCTCGAGCAGCAGTAGCAATTATGACAAAAACGAACCAGCAGATCAAGCTACACCTTTTACAACCAGGACATTATCAGTTGAAGATGCAATTCGCCATAATCATCGCCGCCAGAAACCTAATTTAGATGAACTTGAAGAAATGAATCATCAGCTGCAAAATTGTGAAATAAAATCATCCGAAGTACAATCTAATAAGGATATTTGCGTTGAAGTAGCTGTTGAACGTGATCAGAATAATCAGCCCAACACTGAAGATCAGAATAATCAGCCCAACACTGAAGATCAGAATAATCAGCCCAACACTGAAGATCAGTCAAATTATGATGATCAATCGAATCATCATACCCAATCCGATCGTAGTAATCAGTCCTCTGGGGATCAACAACTTGATCACGATAATCTATCAGATAAAAATGAACAACATTCTACGAACGATGAAGAAGGTTGTTCGACCGATGTAGATCTTAGGAGAGTTAGTATTGCAACAGTAACTTCAGATTCCACCTTGTGTGAAACACCTGGAGAGCCGACTACAGAATCTGAACAACAAAATTCACAAAGTGTAGACTTAAATACAAGTGAAAATGACGACGATGAAGATGTTGATTTTTCTGAGTTAGAGCGTACTAGTCTAAAGAATCAAAATAAGGAAGTACTAGTTTCGGAGCTATGATCAATATACCCGACAAGTCTTACTTGTAAAATGCTAGTTTTTATACCTTAAATATTCGCACTATAATAGGAGAATACCGGTACGATGCTGTTTTGCCTATTGATGGAGGCTATTTAAATTGTTGCACTTTGTTCTTCTGATTGAAACAAGGTGATGTTTTATTAATTAATTTGATACCCATGTTAATAAGTTGCTCTAAAATAAGAAAAGCAAAATCACCTTCTGGTGAAGGTATTGAGTCTTTCTACTGCGTTATTCTAATTATAATCATATCAGGTGTTACCATTCTGGCTAGTTTCTATCCATACCATATCCTTGTTCTAAATTGATGCTGTTTGCTATTGATGGAGATTATTCCGTCGTCTTACTTTGCTATTCTAATTATAATATCTAGGCATTGCCATTTTAACATAGGCTATTCAATCAAGCTATTCTAATTGTGATACCAAGCGATGCTGTTTTTGTTAGCTGTATTCATACTAATTTACATTTTAAGACCACACTTTACTAGCGTAGAAGGAGATGAACAATAATATTGTAGCGTCTTGATTTAATTAGCGTATACACCTACGACTGTATGTTCCATATTGTATAATTTAGTCTTGTGCTATGATTCGACTGTAACGTAGTTATTATCAATTGAATCTATTTGTATATTTTCTTCTTTCTATAACTACAAGATACCGGTAAATACGTCAATTTTTTCCTGCAGAATATATTATAATCGCCTTGTTTTAAATAATTAATCACTAACTCTTAATCTATTTTATGTCTATGCACTAAAATTGGGCATATACTTGATGTAAGGGTCATGATAAAGTGAAATTTTCTTTGGCTAGCGAATGATTTATCAAAATATGTTTACAGTACGCTAGAAATAGTTACAAGGATAACATCTCAGTAGATCAACTTTGCATTTAATGAAATTATTTGGGTTGCTAATGGTGTAGCATTCATAGTTGGTCCGTAACCCGTCGCTGATCGTTAATTATTATAGCTTGACTGTTACAGTAATAGAAGATATAATTGATATAGGATTTGAAATCAAAGAGGATGCTTGCATTATCTCAGAAATTAACTGATTGTACCATATTTTTAAGCTGTAACGGGATAAGTGAGCAACATTACTTACTACTAATTGAGGTACTAACAAGTAAATATTGGTTTTAAACATGTCATGAGTGATATTTCTACAAGATAGTCTAGAAGCTGAAGTGATGAGATACCTTCAATGACAATGAGAAGTCAAATATTCCCCTCCCCCCCGCATGGCAATATAAGCATACATCCACACTAAGATTATAAATTAGCCTTCAGGTATCTAATGAGTTATTTTTATAGCTATTGGTAGCTCGATTTTAATAAGATTACGTGTGTTGCGATCAAGTGATTCTGATCAGTATCACACATTAATCATTCTCGAAAATGAAACACTTTAACTGTGCAATGTTATATGCGTTATAAGGTTATCATATTATTGTACTGTTTTAAATGATTCAAGTAGCAAAGAGTGGTAAACATTCGCAATGTATCGAGTTTCTATTATTCGAATGGTTTAAGGCTATTAAAGATGTGTGAAAGTAATATTGGATATTTTATGTACTCGTATTTGAGAGTAAATTCGCTTAATAGATTTAAAATAACATGATAACTGTACTGCTATCAGTTAATCCGGGGTACACTTACAGTCAAACAACATAAGTATTGACAAAAATTTGATAGTATGACGAGCTTCTTGTATTTCGTAACTTTTCCTTTGATAGATAAGCAAAGTCTTGTTGCCAATTTTATTTAAATATTATAAGAATAATGATGCTATTACGTATGGAATAGCATATTTTCTGTTTTACCAACTAATATAACAGCATATTTAATTTATTTACCTTGAAGTTGGCAAATAAGTAGTATTATGATTTCGCATTCGATAATTTTTCGTTTATAATGATGAGCAAAGATTCGATTGCGTAGGAATATCAGAATATGTATATTTTTACGCTATGAGAATACTATTGTAGTGCCTACAGAATAGCATGTAGATTAAAGCGTTTAACGACCGTCGAGTTCATATACACTAATGGGAGCTAGGTTTAACTAGATTATTTGCAGTATAGCAAATAGCCAAATGAATTAACGACTCACTAATATTGATGTTTGGATATCATTCGTACAAAAGTGTACTTTATAAGACTACCTACTATTTTAAGGGGATGGTACAGCGGTATAGTAAGTTTCTTATATGCCTTAATTGATCGCTAGAAAAGGATGAACAGATATTATACTGCCTAATTTACTTATAAATGACAATAGACCTGCAATATATCGAGCGTAGCTTGTAGGATAAGCTAGGAGGCTGTATTATTTTATTCTAAAGTAGACATTGGCAAGGAGTCGGCTGTCATAGTCAATTATTCGTTGGAGGACTGTGTTGATATGCTGGAATAGCTTGTGCTGAAGTTAATTTGTTATTCCATTTTAGTAGACATACGTTCGAGTGTATTCTATAGATTACGTATCTTTAACTTTTCTAATATTCACAGCAGATTGACCAGATAAGCCTTATTTGTGCCTATATAGGACACATTGAATTGTTTTATATCTAAACGTATATAAATATTTAATTTTAAAAAGCGCACGTTTATTGCGTACAGTGGTGAAGAAAGTTCTAGAAGATAAGTGATAATTCATATATGATCAGCAAATAGCATAAATAATTACTAGGATTTCTATAGATTATTAACAAGCTCTAGTGATTCAAATCAGGCTGATTGATTGAAAGATCCCGTTACAACATTAGAAATGAGATTTGAGTTATAAAAATATTCCATAATCATTCGTTTTGGGTGGAATAATTTGCAAGCCTTGCTTGTCCAATTAATGAACTAATATTAGTTTAAAGTAACGTCATTGTCCATCCTATTTACAGGTTTATGAAGATTAATGAGGTAGCGATGATATTTCGTGAGCACTACTATACCGTTAAGATTTCAATTATTTCTGATAATTTTAAACACGAGGCATATATATATCTAGTAATTCATTCAAGAGCATATCCGAATAATTGATTACACTAGAAAATTATTTACACCTTAAATACCAATAAAGTTTTGACAGTTCAATTGATTTAATCTGGGACGGCATTACTTTGATAGTAACATATTGATGCCGTTAGCAACATAAGAATACTAAATACACATTAACGAAATGATGTAATGAATTGATTGAAAAATGAAATACATCAGTGCGGCTGGGGTACATGTCCATCTACATAAAAGTTTCGCGTTGCTTTGGGTAACGTTAGCACCATTCCTTCTAATTCTTTTGTTAAAGTAATTTGACATCCTATGTACAGATTATAAAACAGCAACAATACAGTCACTGGATGGGATTCTTATCTATAATAAATTTACACCACGGTAACAATTTATATTACAAAAGTTGTATTCTGCCTTTATCATTTACCTAGTCTTGATGTATGCGTCAATAGTGGAGCCATATCTAGTAAATCATCTTCCCTATTGGATGTATGGTTGGCAGTGTCGATTAATATGTCAATGATCGGCACGGATGCTTAAATGCTTATTGAAGTGAGCTTACTTTTCATCTGGTTCATTTAACTTGTCAAAATTTTCATCATCAACAACGACATGGCAGGTCGAGCATGCTAAAGAAGCTTCACAGGCACCTAAAATGCAAAGTTAATATTACGTATACACGTATAACGGCTACAAACCTATAGTATTCGATTGAATGAATGATACGTCAACATTTATTAGCTGATTATTGTAAGTCCATGAATCATCCATCAATTACTCAATTTATGCACCTTCCAGCTCAATACCATATCGGTGAGCTAAGTATAAAATGTTATCACCAATTTTTCCTTGAATCGGTTTCTTTTCTCCATCTCGAGTGATAAAGGTGACATTTACGCTAAGGAGAGATTTCAAGACATGAGTAATTTAGATGTCACTGCAGTATACGTATTATCAATCAATGAATTTATAGTAAGTGGATAGTCCTCATCATGCGATAGTTGATCTTTGACTGAGTTGAATGTCATGAAAGTGTCCGGTTATCATTCTCATCCTCAGCAACCATATCGCTATCATTGGGTGTAGAAAAATTGCAGTCACACAAGACTGGTAAACTTACATTTCATCTGGAGATGTTGGATCTTGCATTTCGTATTCGCCATGTAAGAGTGGAGCTGATCATCATCAATCGATAGGAAGAATGTTGAAAAACAAGACAAAAAGCTTACTACGAGATATTCTATTACGCGATGTAGTAGTGATGGTTGCAAAGAATGCATGAAGATGTCGCTAGCATCAATCGAGATGGATATTATTTCCTACCGTTTGTGTTAATCCAACGACCTTTCTGCCTGCCATTGAGGCTATTCCATTGCAATACAAGAAGTCTGTGGTAAGATCGCGTTGTTAAACGGTATAACTGAGCTATAAGAGAGCTACTACTGCATAATGAGGCAAGTTTAGCCATTGCAATTCCGCGATTCAGCTGAGTAAGAAGCTGCAAGTTTCAAGTCAAATGATGCACTACTGGTGTTGCAACAGTGCTTGAAACCCATACACCACACATTGATAGTACTATCGATTGACCATAGTCTCGCAGCCTTAGAAATATTCTGTCCTTCTGTAGGCCAGCATGCGAATACTATACGTAGAGTATAGCGAATTACTGTGTACTGTACAGTACTATAGAACACTGCATAGCGGGATCCTCCCAGAGTGATTTGTACTGTATCGTGTTCGCTTTGTACTGTACTGTACAGTGTACACAAGTGTACAGTACAGTACAGCATTTGACCCCATGCTGTACAGTGTACAGTGTACAGTACACTTGTACACCAGTTGCTGCAATGGAGTGGAAAGGCAAGCCGAACCCGATCCAATTATTGATTTTCGAAGCAGAAATGAGTGCAATCGCTATACAAACACTGTGTTAGGACAGAAATTGTTCAAGCCGAATGCCAAGTTGGAGTATGCAGTGCACTGTGCAGGACACTGCAGTGTAGACTGTACAATAAGTGTCCATAAGGCAGTACTAGAAGTCAGTATCAGCTTTGCAATTGGCTTTGCTTTGGTAAAAGCAAAGCTAGCTAACGGTAAATTGCATAATTGCCATGGCTAAGCTTGGCTCATTATGCAATAGTAGCTCTCTGATAGCTCACTTATACTGTACCTATACCGCCTAACAACGTAATTTTACGACGGACCTCATGTATTGCAATTGAATAGCTACAATGGCAGGCAGAAAGTTGACTAGGTGAACACAAACCGTTCTTCCAGTACGGTATAATGAACACGCAGGTTTTGCAACCCACAATGTGTTGAGATATGGTTGCGGACAACTTGCAGTGCATCGATCGGATGTTCTACAGTACAGTGCAGTACTGTAAACTGTATACTGAGTTATGCAGCGTGATCCTTTCGTTTCAGAGAAATCAACACTAATGTTTTGCGACATTTTGAGAACGAAACTTATCAAAATGGTTATGTGTGGAAAGAAGAAGCTCTCATAAGCATGCCTGAGTAATTTATTTTTTTTTGTAGACTACAGTACGATACCACCTAATTAGGATAATCAATTTCTTATCTCTGTCCAATCGATGATTGCTACGTAAGCACATGGTTCAGGTCTTTGTTGGCATGGAATGTACAGTACAATAGATGTTCCACTTAACTTATTGATTCCACTTCTACCATCAACTGCTAGACATGAATGAATTCTTTATACTATACTGTATATTTATAGGACATTTTTGTTTTGTTTTGAACTCCAGGTGCTCAATATACAAATATTATGTCAGTACCATAAAATCTCTCTGCTTCTCCAAACTTACAACGACTAGATCAGCTACCACTAAATCACCAAATGTGATGATGGATATAGAGTACTGTTAGCGGTAACGATAAGGTCTCTAGCTCTCACTCGTGATATACGAATATATGATCATTTATATCACACTGGTATTCTTTTGATTGGCCTGAGAAAAAGTTGAACTTTACAGCAATCATCCATTGGCCAGAGAAAAGTTGATCATCCTAAGGAAAGATTATGCTGTATGATCATCAGGAAGTATCGTTTACTTTATACTGCAAACCCCACCGTCGACTGACCGTCAATATTGAGTGGAATTAATAACAATATTCCAACATACTGCAATCATGATTATTCAGAATGCAAACCTTAAGTAACTCATAAAAGAAAATCAATCAATATTATAATATCGATATCGTATAGATGAGTAGATTGCACAAAATTGCATTATTTTCCTTTTAAACGGCCCTTTTGAGTCCATGCTTCTCACCTACTGTCTATAAAATCGGGCCCGGCTGTCCATTTTACCAGAATCCCTTTCTCCGTGCGATGTACCTACAAATACACAACACTGTGTACAGTATGTACTAACTACTCCACTAGTGATGATGATATACAGTACTGTACATCATACCAGACTTTCATGTTCTGATGCAAATAATGCACGGAAGTTGTACAGTAAGTACTATACAGAATGTTTAGTTATTCAAATTTTGAATTATTCTAATAACAACCATTCAATATCCAGATTATTCATTTATAGATTGCATGAAATTACATCATCAGACCATTCGTCAATGCAATGTTGAATCCAATTATTCTTTGAATGGATCCACGCATTGTAACGCCTTCAACATTGCTAATCCTACCTTCCATTTCCAAGTTTGAATTGAATAACGACAGCATGGAATGCATTGGTTTGCAACCTATCTGACTTGATACCACTGCTTATGATATCACCTATGTTGAAATATCAGTTACTTCTACTGATGTTTCAATAAAAATGTTTTAGGTAAAGATTTCAAGTCAATCCTTGAATCTTCGTCAATGTTTTAGCGGAAGATTTTGAGGATACTTTGCTGTATCAAGCAAATTGCCTTTAGTGTAGTAAAGTACTATAGACTACAGTAGATTGTACTGTAGACAAACGTCCGCAGTTTATATATAAAGGCAAACCTTCATTTGACGTCGGCGCATTGCACCGCTGACACTCCCAACACTTTAAGCAATAAATAAATTAATCAAAAACAACAATATCTGTATTGGAGAATCATGGCTGAAAATACTGATCGTTTTGACAGTTTCTCTACTGTTAGTATTCACACTGGTCAAGATACCCGCGATGAGCTCTACAACTGCCGTAGCGGTATCCCTCCCATCTATTTATCAACGATTTTCCGCTATCCAGAGGCTGGCAAAGGCTTGGTGAGATCATGGACCTAATTGATCAATCGCGATTTAGGACATGAATCAATCATCTCCTTACATCCATATTTTAATTTATGCAGTATTCTATTTGCAATAGTTTACAACACTGTCAATGATTATCATTACCTTAACTGTTGTATCCTAGAATTATGTTTATTCTCGCGATTTAAACCCAAATCGAGCTGCTCTTGAATCTGCTATAGCCAAGTTGGAAGATGGCAAGTACTGTAAGTAGTCAACTGAATCATCTTGGATTGGTATTCGTTTTTGCATAACTTGATTCTTATGACACTGCGATCTATCATAACATCAGCTAAGCTGAATTTTCGTTGAAAATGATTTAGGTAATGCTTTCAGCTCTGGAACTGCTGCTATATCGGCTTTGGGATATCTCATCAAGGCGGGTGATCATGTCATCTGCCCTTTTGATGTCTATGGAGGTATGCGTCCACATTGCTTTTTCAAAAGTTACCTATACTTTACTACTCTAAGCAGTTACAAGTCAATTATTTACTATTACTCAAGTCTGTCATATAAAATACTCCAGTTAAACTGAGGTAGACGGTATTGTTACTCTCGTCTATTGCCTACAATGATAGAACTCAATATTTGTATAGCACAATCAAACCATTTCGTTCAGGAACGACGCTAAATTGAAAATACTTGATTCACCTACTTCAACACCTTGCGAGAATAGCATTGAAATCTTGTTATGATTAACATAAGGCTTACTCTATACTGATAATATGCTAAAATTACGATGTAGAATTCAATTTACCGTTTCACCTTGATGATCAAAAGATTTAGGAATAACTTAATTTGCCACCTTCTTGTAATACATATGTGACAAAACCATAACACTTTTAGATGTGATATTTGATTGACAAAAATAATGTTAGTTATGAAAATTTTACGCCAAATATTCTATATCAAATGCATGCATATGACATTACTGCTGACTCAACAAAAAGTCTTCTTAATTATAATTGTGTGCGTAAAATTATTCATTCTAATTTCAGTGTAGTTTGCACTGTAGAAGTTCACTTCGCACTGCAGATACCCTATCATTGATTGATATCATCGGTCATAGAAACACGACACGGCGAATAATTATAATTATGATTTTTATACGCTGTATTGTAGAAGATAGATTTAATGACTAGTATTTAATTAATTAATTTATCTACCTTTCAGGTACTTCTAATTTCTGGAAAAACGTTGCCAACAGATTTAATATCGAAGTAAGCTTCATCGATACTGCAGATATGGAAACTCTGGAAAAGACTTTCAAAAGCAATACTAAGGTTAACGCTATATTCTTAGATGATATTAGTTTGCAGGTTGATAATATTTTATCTAAATATAGCTGATTACTTTGTGAATCTATGTCAATTTCTTTTCAATTGCACTAATTTACAGTGAACACATTAATTTATAGTACTATGGTTAAAATATATACCGGGAATACATACGAGAATTGTACGATAGCTAATGTCTATTGTATATGCATGACCTGTGTTACAAACTTAATTAATTCTCTTTAGAATTAGCAGTCCAATACGATAAATAATTAATCTTGATGTAATTTACTTCTTGATCTATTGGTTCTGTTAATACTGCAGCAACATTAATCTGTACGATCTAGGTCTATTAGCGCATAAGTTATTGCCCGAGTTGCTGTTGATATTTTATGCATTATTGAGTTATTGCTGTTCTAAAGATTAAGATTGGTGTTTGCAGATATTATGGTTGGAAACACCGACAAATCCATGCTTACGAGTCACTGATCTTGAAGGGGCCGTAAAGATCGCTCGTAAACACAAGGTAAAACAATGATTCGTATTGATTGTAATGTATCAGAACGTTCTTTAAGTTAATGATAGCTCAGTCTGAGAATGGATTGTAAACAAATTAATAGCTGACCTAGGATACGTTTCTACGGTGAAATTATAGGATATTCTCATCGTTGCAGATAATACGTTTGCGACACCATACTTTCAGGTACAATCTTGTTTAATTAAAATACTATTGTACTACTTTACCAGTCTAAGCATATTATTTTTATAAACATTGCTAGATGTAGTATTAATGCGGCTTTGAGTAAGCTTTATTTTTAAAATTTTGACACCTTTTGCAGCGACCACTGTCCTATGGTATTGATATGGTATTGCATTCTCTATCCAAATATATAAATGGTTTGTAATATATTTTATAGATACAATCGATAGTAGATTTTACAGATGGCTTCTATGTATTTACTATACGTTAGGTCATTCTGATGTCATTATGGGGGCAATAGTCAGCAACAGCGAAGATATCTACCGCAAATTGGAGTCTATACAAATCAGTAAGATGCTTTAGCTAGCTTAGTTACTCATTGTTAAGCTGGAATAGTTATCTCATTTTAAATTCTATGATATTTTTTGATAGATGTTGGTAGTATACCAAGTCCTTTCGATTGCTTCTTGGTAAATCGTGGCCTAAAGACGTTATCTGTACGTATGGAGCGCCACCAAAAAAATGCACTGGCGATAGCCAAATACCTTGAGCAATCGCCATATGCGAGAAATGTAAAGTATCTTGGTATGTGTTATAGAAATTATAGCTGCTACATTATGGATGTCTCAGACCTTTTGTACGCTAGCATTAGAATGGATTGTATCCAGTAATCAATACGAAAAATCCATTACAGGCTTGCCATCTCATCCTCAACATGAACTTGCAAAAAAGCAAATGAAAGGTTTTAGCGGAATGGTCTCATTCGTTATTAATGGAACTGTTGAACAGGCTAAGAAATTTCTACAAAGTTTGAAGGTATTCGCTCGTATTAATGAAGTTAATGTAGATGAAAAATTATTGCTTTTAACTGTCTTTTGAATCAAGTAGGAGAGCAATTACATTGAGTTCAATGTTCAATTTATACTTGAAAGTAAATACACATATATTCCAATAAAGTTACCATATCTATCATTAGGTGATTTTATTAACTGTCAGCCTAGGTGGTGTTGAATCAGTAGCAGAATTAACGTAAGTTAATATCCATGTTATATTCTCTTAATATTCTGTATTGGTACTAAATAACACTGTACATACCAACAACGAATCGAATTTTACTAATATTTTCTATTGCCTGCTTTAGTCCCCTTATGACTCGTGAGAATGTGGATCAAGCTGAACTTGATAAATTGGAAATTTATGAAACATTTGTAAGTATTCGATTTTGTTTAGTATAAAAGAGAAAAGTAATGCTACAAATTGAATACATATTACAGTGTTAATTTGCTGTACTATACTCAGAATGTACTCCTTAGTAATAAGGCGTTCCTTATCAAAGGCTTTAAGATTGTGAGCTCGTTTAAATTTTTATTTAGAAAGTAACTTATTATTTCAAGGCACATGTGTATAGTCGTATACCGAAGCTATAACGCGATAGCATCTCAAGATGCAATCAGTTATAATTTTTACAAGTATCAGTTTATTGATGTGCAATGTGATTGTATTGCATTTGGCTCACATATCCATTAATGTAGCTTATTCTTTCGGATGCAGCAAGTTGTTTTTCGTTGTCATAATTACTTTTTAATCATGAATTATCGTCGAATTGCCCAAATCTACTAAGCGCTGTGCGATTTTGAGGAAAGTGTTTCGTGCCGTTAGAGAAATTTGCAGCTAGTCCTGTTATAACTCAGTACTTCAGCACGATTAATTTAATTCAAATTTACGCTTGCATAACGCCAATTTTTAATACAAATATCGCCACTTGCAACTGAAAATAGCCCCAGATTTATTATTAAAGCGGTATACATTCTGCATCATTCAAATGGCTATATGGTAGTAATATTATCACGCTACAAACATTCAATTTAATTACAGGTTAAATTGATATGTTGTATACTAATTATATAGAACTTGATTGAAATTGACTGTTATAATCATACAATATTAAAGTTATAATACAAAAATTAATCAACTTCTTTAGATTCGACTTTCCGTCGGCATTGAAGATACAGCGGATTTGCTACATGATATTGAGCAAGCTTTACATGAAGCTTTGGCTTAAACTTATACATACCACCGAAAGATTATCACCCAGTGTATTCGTAAATATGAATTAAATTAATTGCGTATACACCGTAATGGACTATTATTATTTGGAGGTATTAGAATTGTGCTAATTCGTAACAGCATACTACATACAGTGAGTAGTTTAATTCTCAGAGTAAAAATTATTGTTAAATTATTCGTCCAGAACAAGAGCATTACTTCTTGACATAATCTTGATTGTATGGTAATGCAGGGTTCAAGCTTCAATATTCTTAGCATATATTCCATAACATTATTAACATGAACCAATATGTAAGACCTTTATAATCTACTTCTATCCTAGTAGATAGGATGTCTAAGATGTTAGCAATACATGGGTTAGCTTTTGAGGATTAACTATTTTTAGATTTCATGATTTACTGGCCATCAATTTTACAATAATAACACGATAATAAAATGTTCATTAAAACCAAATCAAGATATCGCTAATGATGCTTTGATGGCTTTTTGCAATTCTAAGTCTTCCGTTTCCTCTTGTTGTTTTCGCTCACTTTCTAAACGTTTGCTATCTTTTTTCGCCCAATCTAACTGATCCGCTTCTGAAAAAGTACTGAACTGTGTCGGTGTATTCCCAAAATTAGCATACGTCGGATCTACATTATCTAGGTTACGGCTAATTACTTGCCTGTGGGGCAGATGACGATGAACTTGACGTAAAGGCGTTACTGAAAGCGTCAAACCCTGCACTGTTATTATTTCCAGTGTCGCTAGTAGACTTGGGTGCGAACGGATCATTTGAAGAAAGCGCACTACCGCTAGACTTGCTTGCAAATGGATCATCATTGGAGAAAAAAGCCCCAAACGGGTCATCTTGCTTGCTTTTACCTTTAACTTTTGGTGGAGGTGGTCGAGGAGGTGGAGACTTTTTGCTTGTATTATCATTGCTACCACTAGCGAAAAGATCATCAGATTTCTTGGTATCAAATGGATCTAAGTTATTAATGTTACTGGTAGCAGTAATGTTCGTTTGAAATGGATCATCTCCAAAGGCAGTGAAGGCAGTACTGCTGTTAGCTTGATTTTGGCTTTCGAAGGCCTTATCGGTTGACTTACTACCTTCAAAATCTGCAAACGCATCAAATTTATCAAATCCAGTCGTAGTGGATGTTTTTGCCTGTAAAATGAAATTTCTTTATATGAGTTTGAACTGCCAAGTTGTTCACATTATTTGACCAATATAACCGGAGAGACTCACGTTTTTGTCACCAAATGGATCTGAGTCGTTCAAAGTTTTAGATTTGAAGGCATCATCAGTGTTACCTATTAAGCGATTACAAATACAACTTAATTCATTTAGTATTCACTGAAATAATAGCATAAATATGAGAATTAATCAATTAATACTTGAGATCGGTTCACTGAAGGGATCTGCAGCCGTTTCCTATTGCATACAAATACAGTAATAGAAGGATGACATACATATCTTTAATTGATATGTTACAGTAGAATTCAAAATTCTTACCGAGAACGGATCACCCTCCGCGAATGGGTCGGCTAATACATCATCAGTCTTGAATGGATCTACAAAATACAAGATATCAAAACAATGAGATTATAAAAGTTACACACTGTAATTACGTTATAGATCTATAAAAGATTTATAAGCTTATCGTGCAAATTTGCAACATTGATGAATCGATATAAAATTTTACCAGATGCAAAAGGATCTTGGGTGCTAAACGGATCTATATCATCCGCTAAAAGAAAATAATTGATTAATAAGATAGCAATCGTTATGCAGAAATTGAATTTTCTATCGTCTTACCACTATCGACATTATTCTTAGCGGTATCAGTATTGCTAATCGCTTGGTTATTCTTTAAAATTCAATTATGTATAAGCCATCAAGCAATAAAAAAAATCTTCAACATATAATCAAATGTAAGAATCTACCTGATTTTCAAAATCTGCCTTAAAATCGCCGAAAGCGTCGGAAGAAAATGTATTGTTATTATCAAAATTAGCCTTAAATGCATTCTGATCTGATTTGGTAGAGAACGCATCTGATGAAAATGCATTGTTATTGAATTTTGTTTCAAAAGCATCAGAAGAAAAGTTGTTTGTGCTAGTAGACTTATTATCCAAAGTTTCACTAGGAAATTCTGTTAAAGATACAGCACTATCGATACTAGCAGTAGTGTTGAAATCCAACTCTATTTCATTACTTTCACCACCATATCGTTTAATACTTTCAATTAGTTCTGTTTTAGCATCAGCGGATGACTGCGATTTATTAGTCAACTAAAATAATGGAGAACGACAAATAAAATGAAAATTATGTACCAAGATACCGGATAAAATCAAGATATACGAGATTATAGTATATCTTTTCATAAAGTTTACCACTTTAATTTCGGCATTGATATCCTTGATTTCTTTTACAAGACTGTCTAACTTATTTCGAGCATTTTCAATCTAGTGTGATAAATATCGTACGTAGTGTACTACTTAAATATACGTTAGAAAAAAGATGTTTAGTACAATGCTTCAGTTTTACCTCTGCATCTAGTCTAGATTCAGTATTACGCAAATTATTTAATTCTGATCGAGCTCTCGCCAGCTCTTCTTCTTGTTCCTACGTCACAGTTATATTAGTAAATGATTTTCATTTCTACAAAATATGATGGTAAAACTTACTTTGACCGTTTTGTCTTGCATCTGCAATTGCTGTTTCATTTTTGTTATCTAGTAAACAAATTATTATAAGTTTCTAACAATTTCTTAATGATTCGTTAGTAGCTATATTAAATCATTGTACCTCTAGTTGTTCCTTTTCGTATTTTTCGCAAATATCTTTAACGATATTTTCCTGCTTAATTTTCTATATTATATTTACAGCGAAGAATATCAATCATTAAGCGTGTTATTTTTAAAATAGGCTCAAATTTTACTTACTTTAGCTTCTAAATCAGCAAGCTCCTTTTGGATTTCTTCTTTTCTAGCTGCTAATTCAACACATTCTACGCTTAATTTTTGAGATTCAGTCGTAAAATCTTCAATCTGAGTAGTAATTTGCCTAATTGAACTCTCCGTATCTCCAATTTCTTTCTGTAATTTCGTTTTATCGCTAATGAGAGATTATAAAATCATAAATTTTATGATGCTTTTAATCTCTCCGATTATAATTTATTCCGTTCTTTATCCAATATTATACTGACCTTATAAGCTGTTGGATATTTCGATTCAGTGAATCAAATTCCTTAAAAGCAGACGAATCAAACGCCGATGCAGGCTGTCGGAATTAGATTTAGTGATTTATTAGTATCCGGCTCCATCAAAAATATCACATAAGCATAAAATATATGATAGTACTTTGTGATTGTACCTTTTCGACCGATTTATCAAGTCTCATTGACGGAGGTACCATATTTGCTGAAAGCGTTAGGGGTAGTTCGATGCCGTTTATCTACGTGCGTTATATTCATAGATTTGAAAGGCATATATAACTAAAGTAACTAATATAACGATAGTAAATCAAAAAAATCTTCGTTGCAACTTTACCTTTTGTTGTATTAGGTATAAAGCTAATGCAAATTGTTCACTATTTAGTTTCCCGGTATGATTGATATCACACAAATTCCTAACAATGGGATAATTATAATAAGATAATTTTCTCTTCCGTGACTATTTGTAATCAAAGAATAATCAAAGAAAAGTTCTTACCAGATGCTACCTAAAACCTGCTGAGAAAGGCCAGACATGAGAAAGACATCGCGAACATCTTCCGCTAAAGGATCAAATGAATAGCATACAATAAGACACGTTTACAATTTGCGTGCATAAGAAAAGAATAGCAACATCTTTGTTCCTTCATTAGAATGTTTCTACCTTTAAGTTCACTAGTTATATCTGGATTTATATTTCGGAAATATTCATCATATTTCTCCTTATCGCTCTTGCTTACAACCCAGTCTACTGTAGAATTGTCTGTGGTTGCAATTTTTCCCTAATTATATATGAACAGAATATGTTTATGATATTAATTTTCTACAAATTATTACCATGACAGGACTTTAAGAAATTGCATAGCTAGAATTTTAGTACATGATGGCTGCTTCGTTTAGATGGAGGTATAAGTTCTTGTGGTAATCGTTTGGGAATTGGTTTATCTTTCACCGCATTCGAAATAAAATACATAGCCTATAATTGTATATAATTTTTAAATATTTTATTTTATTATATAAAGTATTCAGTTAGAATATTATACGCATATTATTACTTACCAAAATAAATTCTTCTTTATCTAAAGTACCATCTTTTTCAAAATCGCACGTATCCCATATCTACAAACAAGATTAAAGAATAAAAAATAGTAGTATTAACAGCAGGCTAGAATTTATCTTATGCAAGAACTAGGGATTATAGAATAAATTACATAATATAATAAAAGATATATTATTGAACTGACCAGACTTAAAGTATCCTGTGGAAGTTTAGATTTTAAAAAAATCTATAAGAGAGAATTAAGAAAAAATACCGATGAGAGAATGAATGTTTTATAAATATGAGACCTTATTGTTACGATAGCTATTTCATTTTTAATATATTACAAACTCATTGACGATCAGATAATTAATGCAATTTATCTGTTTTCATTACTGGTTTTATTTGTTCTCCAGTTAAGCGGGTGTTGACAGGGTTTAGATTCTAGTTAGAATTAATATTTTTTAAAATAATTATCAAACATTAGTGAAATGTGGTACAAAACATAAATTTAAAAAGTAGTAAAACATTACACCGTACATCAAATATTTGATTATATTTTGTTTGGTCTTCTTTCTGCAATCACATATGTCAATAGAAAAGAAGATAGGATATGAGTATAGTCAATACCTTGATTATTTCAATTCAATCTTAGATAATCAAAACATAGTAAATATAGCATTTAAGGCTAACACTTATTCCCCAAGATATATTATCCAAGGAACCAGACAATGCTTTTCGATTTAAACCAATACCAGGTACAGTAGGGTTGGTACAATTACTGTACTGATTATAAAAAGTAGGATTATCCTATAGTATTTGAGCATAAATCAAGAAGATTATAAAATAATGATGCTATAGTTTGGTTTGTTTTGATGTTTAAATTTCTATTGTTAGCAGAATCTATTAATTAAATACGCGTGTTAAAATTTATATTTATGAAATACGTACTAAATCGGGTGGCGGAGCTGGAAAATTTACATTAGAAAGTGAAAAATCTCGACCGCACTGAGCTAATGCAATGAGCTTAAGTACAATACAGAAAGATTTCTTATTTAGGTAACCATCTTTTGAGGAATCGCCAAGTTCCCATATCTAATGAGGATATTCAAATAAGATAATAAATGGTATTGTCATTGTCTATCACATAATTTAATAAGAGAGAGAGCTATACATAACGAAATAATATGAGTTCAACCAAATTCCTTGCTTTGCTCTTACAGTTAAACAGAGTGAATATAAAGTATAATTTACCTGATGTAAGACAGACTCCTTTAAGTTAGATTTTTTTAATGTTGGCACCAAATCGACGGCAGCAATCTTGCCAGTGCCATTAGGATCCATCTTACAAAGAGTATAAAATGTATTCGTTACAAGCCATGGCATGCTAATAGAATTTGTCTAATTTTATTAGTCTCGATTTGTTAAGCAATTTATAGCTACACACATAAAGGTTGTGATCTTTGAAACTGAATAAATATTTTGTTATGTTAATCTGTGAGCTGAGTTGAAGATTGCAAACAGTAAATAGCACTAATATAGGATTTACAATTTTATCTTACCTGTCTGTAATAATTTTCGTATACAGAAGCGTTCATCCCAGCCAGCTAAATTGAATTGGTAGAAATTAATAATTAAAAAACATTAATTCCATCATGGCTACCAAGTAAAACAAATTCATTTAACACGGAATTACTGCAAAATATTAGTAGTATATAGTAAGCTATTAGCTTTTTATCAATATATTAGTAATATTAGACTTTAATTAAGATGGAAAGCAAATTGAAAATTTAGCAACATAGTGCCTTACGATTTCATTTGAACAGCGAAAAGTGTTACATCATGTATACGAAGCTAACAATCCACGTTGCGTTTATTGGATGCAATAGCTGTATTAGGGTAGATATTTTTCTGCGGTGCACGAAAAAGTAAGCAATGACTAGTCGGATTTTTGTGGAATGATCATTTGTGTATAATGTTATGCAGGTATTACAGTAGTTATTACAAGAGTAAAAAAAAGATTACGAATAAATGAATAAATGTTATCTTTTTATACGTTGTAAAGTAATTTTCAATTAGAACTTGTCAAACAGAACAGACATTGGTCTTCTGAACTTTGAACTGGAGTATCATCAAATCATAACTGCTTCACTCTGATGATTAATAGCAACTTTAGAGTTTAAACGTGTGTGAATAAAAGATGCCGTGAAGAAATCAATATACAGTATTTGTAAATATATATGTTATATACATTGTAATTTGAATGATTTCAGTCTACCTCGAGCATAATCACAGGCCACTGATGTACGTGTTTGTTTTAATTAATGATATGGTTCTTATCGATTACTGATGACGAAAAATGAAAACAAAAATAAATGGGATATCATGGATCCATCGATCAAATTGAAAGAGTCATATGGATTAGTCATAGTTGGTATATAGATTGTGAATTGAGATTTTCTCGCAATCCCATGGTATAGGTTCGTACTGACGATACGTGTAAATTAAGAGATCTAACTTATTAGTACAGTAATGTCAGTCTTTTTTAGTTTTCGTTTGCTTTAAAATATTCGGAAGCCATTCAAGAGTAATGTCCGAATCGACATTTGGTTACATAAAGCGATCCTGCAATCGTCAGTGATATTTAGTGTTATAGTACAGTATAAACACCAGGGCATCGCCTTTAGTACGTTCTCTGTTTTTGTTCATACTTTTACGTACTATTATAATAAAGGATACAACAAGTACACAACTTATCCGTTTCTATATCAATCATTATAAATAAGAAATCAATCGAGGTTGTAGTTGATCGATTAGGAATTTCATAATAATACATCGCCTAAAGTATGATTGTAAGGTTATTGTTGCGTAGACTTTCGTGTTTTACTAAATGGAGCAACATCGCACTCTATAGTCTACATCCGAGACAAAACAAATTATACTAGTTGACTGAAATCGTCAAGAATGATAGACCATACTTGAAGTAATACATTTAGTATACATATTGTACTGCATAGGAGAAATTTGAGCAGAAACTTGCTTTTGTATCTTATACTGTAGAAGATCTTGATAGTTATAATGCCGTATAATGTAAAATATATTCTTAGTTCGCTTGTATTAGGATGATTTCAAGGTGGGCTATTCTTTTAGGAAACGTTATGCAGACTGTAAAGAGAAGTATCAATTTTTCTGTAAAACACGCTTTATTTTCTATCGTACGTGTAAGCCGTGTAAGGTACAAAAGCCATTTGGATGATCAATACACTATGTTTATTCTATACGTATACTGTATCATAGTCATCATTTTTTACTCGTTATCCTAAATCTATTTGACCGAATATGAACACTTCTCTGTAAATTTTGTGTTCTGGGCAAAATTTATTTTTGTCTTAATTTTGAATAGCTTAGCTGGAAGTTTAATAGTCGATTATAGACAACAGAAATATCGAATTTGCGGCCACTCTGTGTTTATCGGGCGGGACACGCAAATATCACGAACATAATGTCTATCCGTCTTTTAACTGTATTACTAGACAGTATGAAAAGCTAACTGAAGTTTTTAGATAATTACAGTACTATACCTTGTTTACATTAAAATTTTCATTTCTAAGAGATATGCTGACAGCTAAACGCAACAGATGAAAGAGTAAACTGATCTAGCTTGGTGTGCACCAATGTTAACGAATACGGGCGTATTTATTGATCGTGATTGAAAACAGTAATGAAAGACATTGACAGCCATCAAACACTATCTTAGTACTAACTTAGGTTTAGTGATTGGCAGTTCTTCATTTTTAATGTGATCAACTTGTATAAGTTGATGGCGATGACATCGATATTACTACCGTACTGTATTACAGTGATGTCGATTCCAATATACTTCATCGATCAACTACAATGCATTTGTATTAAGTTAACTAAGTGCAGCAAGTCGTCTAGCAGTTTATGAGTTTATTTTGGGATAAAACATGGTAATGTAAAAGTTGGTGTGCGATACTTGAAATTGTTAACAAGGCACAGATTGAAGGATAAAGTATCCATTATTAGTTGTTGGAGAAGTACAGCACATTGATTAGGTGTCCATCATGAACATTTTAACTTCACTTAATGTGGGCGTAGTACTGTACAGTATGCGCCATTTTAAAGCCGATTCATTCAAATATCACTAATGGAGGGATACATAGTGTAGATTATCAGCATTAAATTGCTTTCTTTTCCAGTTATATTAAATAATAGCTTATAACAAAGATGAAGTTGATTTTTGAGTCTGTCTTGATCCAGTTGTCAAAATAATTGCAGGTATTCTCTTATTTAACTAAGTAAACTCTTCTTAAAAAGTTTGAAAGAGAATCCAAAGCTATTAATACCTACGTTGATATTGCACTTACAGCAATTAATTAATTATTACTGAAAATTAGTAACCTCATTAGCGAGAAAATCTTTCCATCTTCAAACGCTGGGTATTACAACTTTAGGCTGCAGTGAGCAGGGACTACTTAAAAGGTAGGGAATATCCCCCCAAATGGGTAGTCCCTACAGTGGTGTTGATACCATTGCTGCTATCTACGTATTAATATTCTCAATAACATGGATAAGGTGCAGTATACCACATTGATCTATGTGTATCATTTAAAAAGAGCTGCTTGATAACACTATAAAATATAAACCAATTTAAACTAGACTCTACTATAGCAGTACAGTGACTATCTGGCTTTACTTTTCATCTCCACTTCATATTCTCAGTCGATATCAACTCAAAGGATAACTTTAAATGGGATGATCACAGGGGGAAATGGCTCCGCCTAAGTCCGCGACAGATTGACGATAGTACTACTGTAGGCTACGTTACAGGGGTCAAATCAACCAGTACATGGCTATGATTTCGTGGAAATCAACGTAAAATACAAGAGGATCCTACACAAAATAATACCTTTACTGGTAGTATCAGTCCATTGCCTTGTTATGGCAATGGAAAGAAAGTATTTCGAAAAGTGAAAATATCAGAAGCAATTAGCAAAGCTAAGTGAAATGGAATGAACATCTCCATCGACTGCGTTCTCCCCTCTCATCTACAGGTTTATTTTCTCACTTCCAGTGAATACAGATTGAAAATTAATGGAGATCAATTGAATAACGCTGAGAAAAGTGATTTGACTGATCGATACTAAGGCTTTTCTTACGTTTATCTCGATTAATAACGTCACTTTATGCCTTTACTAATTCATTCTATGCTAGTTTTGATGCAGTTACCTGGCTCAAGAAAGGATCGGTGGCCATCTTGACACGCTTCTCACGCACGCGTATGGAAGATTTGCTTTCCGTGAGATACAATGTACAGTACACTACGTACAGTACTGTACGGTAAAAAATGATGGTATGTACTGTACTGTAGGGTACAGTATCGAAATTTTGCTTCCACGGTTCTCATACTGTACTGTACTGTACAGTATGAGAGCCGGGTAACTATACAGTGTACAGTATCGTTAACTCGTGATACTGACATACCGGACGTCTAGACATGACTCGACACTACCCTAGAGTTCCAAGGTTTAGGTTTACGTCTTCTGAACTACAATATCGCAATCAAATACTATACAGACATTAACGAATTCACCTGTTGGCTTGTGATTAGCCAATTTGCAATACTCTAGACAGAATTAATTAATAATCTACGTATGTATAGAGTAGCTGGAAATGCATGAAAGAAATCGCTACAAGATCTCTCCTAACTTTGAAGAATTAGCCCGAAAATTTCCCGAATTACAACCATTTGTTAAAATAAACAAGAAAAGGAATAAATGTTTTATCAATTTTCGCGATTCCAATGCATTATCAGCTGTTACCAGAGCCTTACTCAAGATCGATTTTAACCTTCATGTTGAATTGCCGATGGATAGATTAATACCAACAGTACCGTTGAGATTAAATTATATACATTGGTTGGAAGATCTTATCCAGACGACTCATAATGACGACATATTTGGTATCGATATCGGTACTGGTGCATCGTGCATTTATCCTTTGTTGGCAGCTCGAATGAATGGATGGAATTTCCTTGCAACCGAGGTAGACCAAAGGTGTGTACATTATGCACAAAAAAATGTCACCATCAATGATTTGGACGAGAAAATAAAAATAAAAATGGTTGCAGCTCAAGATATTCTTTGTACACCTTTACGAAATGAGAACAGGCAACAGTATGATTTTTGTATGTGCAACCCACCATTTTTTATTGATTCACTCGATGCTAAAGGTGCTAATCGGACCTCTGTTAGACCACAACCGAAATCAGTTTGTACTGGCAAAGGAAGTGAAATCATCTACGACGGGGGCGAAGTGGAGTTTGTAAAATGCATCATCGAAGATAGTACGCAGTTGCAATCACGCGTAAAATGTTATACATCAATGCTTGGTAAAAAGTCTAGCTTGGATCATGTCATAGCAATATTGAAGGATAAAAATGTAAGTACAGTATAGTATTTCATGATAAAAGTGAGCCTTAATTTGTGGCAATCGATAAAAAATTTTAAGCTTCATAATCTATTTACTAATTTTGGATTTTGCAAGCTGTATGCAGTTATGATAAATATCTGGTAGTGAAAAGTAAAATATTGTTTTTCCTTCCATTTTAGGTTAGGAGTTATACAACATCCATATTTAGCCAAGGTAATACAGCAAGATGGTCTGTGGCGTGGTCATTTTGCAGCGATCTACCTGGCAATGAGGTACAACATAGGACATAGTGTACTCATAGGTTGCATAGCACCAAGCGTCTGCATGCTCAATAATGAGTTGTAGTTTCCTTGCAAAGAATGTTTGAACTTGTTAATAAATGAATGTGGCCATGTCAATATTAGGTAAATAAACAGAAAGATAGAAAGGCAATGAAGCCTATGTACATCAACATAGCTTATTTGTCAGAAGAAATATCCCAATTAAAGGAGATCAATTTAGAAACAATGTGCGACAGAGTAATAAAGCTCTGTAACGAATTGCAGGTGAACAACATTGGCAATATAAATTAAAAGGCTGAGATAATTAACCTAGTTAAAATGAAATAAATCTTAACTTTTCATGACATAGTTATATGTAGGTAATTGTAGTAAACTAGATACCAGTGTAATAATCTCCAGTAATGTACTGGTATTATATCATTCACAGATTAATTTAGAACCAAAGTCTACTAATACGGAAGAAGCTAGACAAACTTTTGTAGGAACTGCTTATACTAATACTTGGGTTCATCAAAGAAGAAAACGGCGAATGCTATTACGGCAGCAAAATGCCTCCGGTTCTGACTTAGAGGGTTGTGGAGGAACAGCCGCAACTACTGAATCAAAGAAATTAAAATTGGATACCAATAGCAATTTGTCATTTTATGATGATAAAGAAATCGATAATGCAAGTCAGAATCGTACGCTGTCCACATCTATCGTGCAATCATCTCAAGAGTTACAGGAAATAAATGCGAATGATATTGTTAGTAATACTTCATTTCAAGCTCTTCTGCAATTTTCGATGACGATAGCAAAATCCCAATACTTTACGTCAACGGATAATAGCATTGTCATGCAGTTAGAATTTATAGAAGGTCAAAAAGATGCTTTGCACCAATTATGTCAGTATTTTCGCAACAAACTGGAGGTAAAAAAGTGAGAAATACTCTTTCATTTTTACTTAATAATCACATCCAATTTGCTATATTAAACTTTAAATATAATTATATCGCTTTGGGATTTCATTTTAAGCTTTCCTGATCGTTACCAATTTAATCAGTATTATGATGCTGGTGATATATTGGCAGTGTATATTGTTATCTATTTTGAAAAATAGCATAGAGGACTGTTTATATGCGTATACATATGATAATTCTTACTAATACGCAGTTTCGATAGTGATGTAACATACTTAATAGAGGCGAAGAATGATTATACGTAATATAGTAGTTTTAATTTAAATAGATGAAATATTGAGGTGGGTTTTTTTACTGACTTAAAAAATAAATTAATAAAACATTATTGTTATCAAGCTTTAATAACTTTTGATATTAAGATATAACAAGACACGTGCATAGTGATTTAATTTTTCGACTATGCTTCACTGTTTCCTTCCTATTTTAAATGCCACTAACGTCTATTACTATATGACAGGATTGTGGTGTGTCTAACAACGCTACGGTAAACCTTGAATCAACATTAACTGATAGGTTGACCTGTTTTCATGCATCATGTTTATAATCGACCGTTTAAATTAATTACCGATGTGGTGATTGAGAAGAATGCCCTCACACACGCAGTCCTTATTAAATACATAATTAATTTATCGACGTTTAAAAATTTAAATTAAAACTCATTCATTCTGCCTATGTATTATTATGGTTCGTGGTAAATTGTTGTGCGTACTGCACTGGGTTTAATATCACAATACGTACGAAGATGGCATCTATCTTACTTTCTCACTTCAGGGCTAAAATCTGATGTGGTTTGTTTAAAGTCGGTTGAAATTTGGTACGTTGCCCTTTTTAGATTTTGAAAGAATGTAGGAAATAGGGAGTAACACGATGATAAGAAGATACTCTATATATTGGTAGCATAACTTTTTAACATTTTCATCACAACAGCGATCTAGAGCTGATTATACAGTAAGTAAATTAACGGCCTCGGTCTCCGCTAAGTATGCAAATTTAATGGGAAGAATACGAAAATTGAAGGTTCTGTAAGATTAGGATTTCTATATAGCACCTTGATTTTCATAGTCTTCACATAATATACAGTACACGCAATAAATAGTAGTATCATTGTATAACTAAACTTGGTAGTGTATTTATTTCTACTTACTACTCCGCAAATCCTTCAGTTGTTCTGTATACCACAGAATATTACTATGATTTAAATCATGATAAAGTTAACTTTTCTTTTTTTAATTATACCTAATTAATAGCCGAATGCTACAGCTATTAATATAGTATCACCATCAGGCAATCGAATAATTACAGTAGTAAGTTATTGTACAGATTTACGGGTATACATTATATAATTAACTAGGGATACAACATATGAACGTACTGGCATCTGAACGATGTATTCGCGTATTTGCATTTTCCTCATACAATTATACACATGATATTGTGCTACACGTCTATAAAGTAGTACATCCTTCGAGAAAGATAATGTATACGTATGAAGATCGTAATCATAATAATATAGAGTTAAAAACATTTTGATTTCCTATAATGCTTGTACACAGTAAAAATTCACCAAGCCATTGCCAATGCTTAAGGGACAACGGCTTCGATTAGTTACTTTTCTTGTCAGAAATTGTATAACGGTCATAACTCTTTTCAGGATCGTACGGTTCCCAACGGCTAGCGGGGAAAATGTGTTTATTTCTTTCGTACCAATGCCTCAAAACGACCTTACCCGCATGCGATTCGTCTTTTTCTACAGATGCATCATTAATTAATCGAACATCTTCGTGGACATCGAAAGTAAAGAGCGGACCACTCTTTCCACGTATTTTGCGTACAATAAAGTCATAGAACGACATGTGCTATAAAAAACAGAAGAGTCAATTACTTCTATCATTGCATTATCGTGTATTGCTGTTTTGGTTACAGGAGATTCGGATGAATTAGCGGTTATACCGCTAGTACAGTACTTAAATCAAAATCGAATGTACTGTATTGCGTGAGTGGTGGTCTTACGAGTTTCGTGTAACTTACATGAGGTATTATCAGATCTTCTTTAATATACATTAGATTGTCGACCGTGGTGGTTTTCAGTTCATTAAATTCCTTTCTTAGGTTTTCTAGGCACTTTTGTAAGAAGTGCTGTATAGTATTTCCCTTATTAACCTGAATCGTTCTCCTGTGTCCTGAGCCATCCCAGTAACTATACGTGATTTCAATAATTTCCCTCTTGATAGTCTCTTGTTTTTCCACCCACTCTAACCTTAATCTGTCCCTTTCTCGTCGTTCTTCCTCCTATAATAATATTTTGACAGCAAATAAAATTCGCAAAATAGTTTAAAAAAATTTTAGGTTAACATGTTGTAGGGCGTAATACGTCAGCCAGGCAACAGGCTACAAGACTAGTAATTTATCCAATAGATTGAATAACGACCAAGAGAGATAAAAGATGGACAGGTTTAATTATACTTCAGTGTAATAGAAAGTACGCGTCTTTACCTCTCTATCACGATCCGGTAGGAATGAAGTTTCCACATCCGGATCTTTTCCAAATTTGGGTTTCTTGAAAGTCACAGTTTCAACAGTTGGTTTGGAAGGTGAATCATGATCGTCCTCGTCATCTTCTTCTTCGTCTAGATCAAATGAAATGGTTGTTTTCTTTCGTTTATTATCTCTTTCTTTACGCTTGTCAAGCACAGCTCGTGCAGCAGTTTGTGTTGCTATTTGTCGCTCTCTTTCTTGGAGTATATGTTCACGTTTTTGCTTCATTTGCTCTAAGGTCACTAAACCAATGGTATTGTCTCGTAGTTCTCTTTCCACGAAATCAAACTGGGTTGAAAATCTACTTTGAATAGTGGCAATACGCGTAGCACTCTTTTCCTGTAAAGGATACAGTGATTTAATTTGAGTTGACAAGAATGATTTGCTTTAGTGTATAGTAGATGGTATAATCATGAGCACAGCTCGCTGGTGCAGCAGTTTAATCCTTCAATTGACGTTTGTGATTTTTATCGACCAAAGATAGAATACAATTTAGCGATTACTTAAAAAGCGTAGCATAACATAAAAAACTAAGTGGTTAAATTCGAGGAAATTCGATGAAAGATTTCACATGAACGTTTCAATTGAATGACAATCTTTTCGAAACTTGATTTTAGTTAGATTATTATATTATGGATTCAACCTGAGACAGTTTGCATTTCCAATTTTGGTGAATATTACCTCAGTGATCTTCTTCTTCATAAACTCTAAATTTTCTCGGCCTTGCTCACGTTTCTTGAGGAGAGCAGCAGCTCTGGCACCTTCGCTAGCTGCACCTTTGTAATGTGCCATTTTACTATCGTTGAATTTTTGGCGAGTTCTTTAACTGTAGAAGCGCAATGGAAGAAATGCGAAGGAAATGCAATGGCAAAAGTAAATGCTGATGCCAAGCTGCCTGCAACGTCTGTGTACGGATTGTATGGAGTACAGCACGGTACAGTACCGTACAGTACAATCATGTGGAGAAAACCATTGTACAGTAGCGTACTGTACTGTACACTCCGTGGAATACTAAAAGCCTACAGTACAGTACAGTCAAGAATACCTTGGGACGGACAGATATTTGGCCAACTTTGGTCAATAAATTATCTCAGTACTGTACTGTCACTCACTACCATGGAATACAGTAATAAAAGTCTGTAGTAAGAGAATACCTTGGGACGGACAGACATTTGGCCAACTTTGGTTAATCAATTGTCTCAGTACTGTACTGTTACACTACCATGGAATGCAGTACAGTACTGTACTGTACAGTGTACAGTACATACAGTACTACTGGAAAAGTCTACAGTACTGTACACTGTACAGTAATAAAAGTCTGTAGTACAGTAAGAGAATACCTTGGGACGGACAGACATTTGGCCAACTTTGGTTAATCAATTGTCTCAGTACTGTACTGTTACACTACCATGGAATACAGTACAGTACTGTACTGTACAGTACATACTACTGGAAAAGTCTACAGTACTGTACACTGTACAGTACAGTCAAGAATACCTTGGGACGGACAGACATTTGGCCAACTTTGGTCAATAAATTGTCTCTTTCTCAAATACTTCATTATGACATTACTGTACAAAAGTATGCAGACAGTCGATTCTAAATTGATTGATTTTTTCTAAATAGAGTTATATTATATTGTATTCCATTACCTGTTGCTAAGTTCTACTTGGAAGTAGTGAATTTAGATTCTAAATGGTATTGAAATGAATAAGAGTGATTTAGAAAAACAGACACGGAAGATTGATACTGAGTAGCTATTTTCAACATTTTCGGCCGCATCTGGTCAGAAAGTCCGTCCATCCGAGGAGAGTTCTAGTCCAGTCCAAGTATTTCTGGTGGTCATGCCTGTACCATGTTTAATTAAAAGGTGAAGGGTCTCTAGTGCCCAGGGTCAGTCTGTCTGGGTGTCAGTACATGCCAACCTCTTGTCTTCGGCCGTTTTAGTATGCCCTTATATGGTCATTGAATATTCGAGGGGGGGGATCAAGACAGCACCCAACTCGCCCATGATTGACCGTATAAAGAAGTAGTTTGTATGGTCAAGATATGGAAGTTAGGCGCAGGAGCAAACGCCACAGTTGAAATCTTCTAGTTTCAGAACTTTCAGTGGAAGAGTGGGGCTAAAAATCGAACCGATGGTTGCATTTGGTAGCGGATTAAAACGAATCAGCGATCATTCATGAATGGTGGGGCATTAAGGAGTAAAGATGAATTGCTAATGGATAGTGAATCCAGACGATAAAGAGCTACAAGAACTTTATTGACCATGTATATCTTTCGTAAGATTAGTGGTAAGCGTAAGAAAAGTCATCAAAGTGATCGCGCTGGCATCAATTCAACCGAAGATGCCATGACTAGCGATGATAGCAGCAATAATATTGGATCGGATGATAGCACAGCAGCCAAATTGGTCGCTGATCATCCTGGTGGTGATGGCAATAGTTCTAGCAATCATTTCTCTCTTAATCACCGCCAGCCTATCTCATCCGTTGGTAGCCTTGATCACAGTCTAAACATTGTTGATGATGATAGCGATATGCATCAAGGCAATTCATCCTGTGCAAGCAATCAAGATCATCATCGCAATGACACAACTCGAAGCAAAGTATTGCAATCTGCTCTAGCCAATCGTCAAAGCCAAGATAACGATGGATTAGATAAATTACATCAAATGAGAGATTTTCATTGCGAAAAAATTGGCAGTGGATTTTTTGCTAACGTTTACAAGGTACAACATTACCGTTGATATCGGCCAAAAGGCCATTTTTTGTTTACTTAATCCTTGATCTCTTGATATCAACTTGTTACGATCAAGTTGTCAACTAGTATAACGTACAACGCTAGCAGTGGTACAATATTGACGCTGTCGATGCTATTCCAATTCTGACACCGGAATCCCATGTACAGTAGAATGTACATTATGAATGCATAAAATACTTGAAAGCTAGCTACAGTTTGAACGCCTCATCAAAAGAATAGAAAGTCGACTCAATCCTTTACAAACTCATTTTATCCTGGACGTTGGATGGAATATTTTCATAGCGTAAATACGCTAGGAGGTGATTCGCTAAAGTTATAGTATAATATAGAGTGGAGACGGCTAACCAACATTCCTAGCCAGTGAAAATAAAAATAAAATGGGTAGTAAACAGTGCCTTCATCGCCTTCATCATTTCCTCAATAACACTTATCAATGTTAAAATATACTACATACAGTAAATTCATTCCATAATAGAATACGTTGCCGAAATTGGGTATATTCAACAGTTCAATATTACAAATAAATGATAATAGAAGAATAACTTATATTGTTGTAGTCCGTCAAGGTTTAAGGGGGAAAAAAAGAAGAAATTACAGCCGCCGCTAGCATGGAAGGCATCCCCTAAACAACTCTTTTCCTACAATTGAAAACTATAATATTTTTTTTTATTTTGTTTGCCCTTTTTAGGTAAAGCATCGAGCGTCCGGTCAAGTTATGGTGCTAAAGATGAGTAAATCGCCAGCCGATCGCAAAACGATGCAACAAGAAATTAAAACCATGTATAACCTAGAACATCCCAATATACTTCGGTTAGTGGTCATTTTCCCTTCTGAGTACATACTATAGATGAGGCCTGTTGTAATTTGTCGACAGGTTATTGCCACAATGGTCTCTTCTTTTTTATTACTATCCGGGGTAGCTTGAATGGGTTACAGTAGTCAAAAGTTAGTATTCTCTACATCAATGGAATCAAATGAATCGTAGTTTATGATCGTTGAAGTCCCTCAATCCAACTGCACAGCAGAATGTCCAGTATTGTAACTACTGTATGATTGTCAATTCCATGTTCTATCTCTCAAAGTTGGCTCACCTGATCAATTTTATTAACCTTAAGGGAACTAGTACTACTTGATGTCCATGTACTATACAGTGTACACCATATGTATCTAGGATCGATATAGATTCCCTATCTGCATGGTATGCGTGTGTGAAGTCTTTTTTTTCGATTTTGAAGTCGTTCATAGTCCCTTGTAGAATTTAAGAATCGTTTCTTATCATCCAGTCGATTCCCACTACAGTCGTAGGTGTTGTGGCAAATCACCATGAGTTTGACAATGATTGATTTGCTTACATAAAATGGTACGATGCACACAATACTCTTATAATCAATTTTAGACCAATAGTAATGCAATTGTATTAGTTCTACTGTAGATATTTTCCATTATAATTGTTATATCAATCAAATTTGATTTTTATTCTTCAATCATTACTTTGTAGACTCATGGGATTGTGTGTCCATGATGGAAAATTTCATGTTTTAATGGAGGTATGGTTTTTTAAGAATGAATTAATAGTTTAAACAAACAATTTCGTAGACAAGACGTTTTCATATTTTATAATTTTGGTATAACACAAGTATTGGTACGCTTTATTCGAAATTAGTAACCATTCTATTTTATGAATTATCGCTATTATTTCCTATCCGATATCATACTAGACATAAACTCATAGATTGACGAGTATGTTTTATTGCGCTAGCTAGAAGAAAATCTAGCATTGCTATACAGTATGTTAGGATTAAAATACGAATCTACCATATACTGTAGAATTGTAACCAACACGCACAATATTGCTAAATTACACGAAAATATGTAATGTTAATGTGAATAATCGGATACCTAACATCAGTCGATGACAATTACACAGTAAATACCAGTATCAAATCAACGATGATACCATTTGTTTGCTTGTTATTATAATTTGGCAATATGTAATGTATAAAAAAAAGATCGATCGATTGCTACGCAATATAGTGTTATGCCGCTGTTAAAGAAGCTATCGAGCATTGTAATTTCTAGTATTTCTTTTACTATGATGTTTTCGTTTTACTTGCGTCTTGTCGGAAAGTGAATGCTTAGTAAACTGTTGATGTCTAATGATTATTCAAGGATGACTTATTTCGAGCTATACACCTGCTGTAAGGATTAGAATACCCTTAAAATGCAATGAATCGCTTCACTGTTGATTACTTCTTTTCGACAACTTAAACTATTTCAGTACACGCTCATAACACCATTGATATTGCACTGTAGATATACGCGTAATGTAGCGTATAGAGATCTAGTGTTATATGTACGCTATACTGTACATGTGTGGACAGTAGAATTCTAGATAGTATAATCGAGATTAGATAAGAATAAAATAAAATCAATTAGACCCTTTTACTGTTAAGTAAAAATAAAATTGTACTATATGATCAATACTGCAATCTAATACCTGTAGTACAGAGAAACAGATTGGATAGTCTAAAAATACTTATTAGTTAACGGATTGTAAAAAGAATCGCAAAAATTTTAAATTCTTTATATCATGGATCGTTAACAAAAGAATAAGCAATTTTTTCCCCCTCTTGGTTTTAGTTTATTAATGGAGGAACGCTTGAGCGACTGCTATTTGATAGCAGTATGGATTTATGGTGGTCAGTTAGACTATTATTAGGACACAATATCGCTAGTGGTATGGCATACCTCCATTCAAAAGGCATTATTCATCGTGATTTAACGTCAAAGGTATTGCGTCAACTATTGCGTAACTATTTTGAAAGGAATATTAACCCTTAGGTTGAATACTTCCATTTTCAGAATTGCTTGATTAAACGTGAAAAAGGACGTTTAACTGCTGTTGTTGCTGACTTTGGATTGGCCGCTAAAATCCCAAATAGGTTTGTACTAATTTCAATCAACATGGGAATAATAACTTGATAAAAAGTAGTATAGCTTGGAAGTGAGCATGTAGTACTCGTATAGCAGCTGTTATGCATTCAATCTTTCTACTTAAAATTATTAACAACTTCTTACTTAAACCACTTTTCAATCTTACAAGTTATATTTTAAAATTATCCAAAGTAAAAATGTGATGTTAAAACGATTCATACTGTGTTCTTAATCTTGTTTTGCTGAATAGAGTTGTCAGTTCTAACGCTAACATTGCAATGAATGTTTAGTATTACCTTACAGTATAAATTTACATATTTGTATAAAACTGACGTGCTATCACAATATTAGAAGAGAAAATTAGATTATCTCTAAACAAGGGCTATCAATTTAACGATTGCTAAGTGACATTAGGCATATTAATTAATTAATTATTTATAGTAATATTATCAAAGTATGCCTAAACCAATTTCAGTATTAACTATCATTGTTAATGATCATTTCTAAGCTGGTGAAATACTGCCCAAAGTAATCGTGATATGGTGTAATATTTTGCTATTATAGTATTCATGAGTGTGATAAAACAATGTCAATAGTTGGATCACCTTATTGGATGGCTCCGGAAGTTCTTGGTGGTCGGAAATATGACGAAAAGGTTGTTAAATGTACAATTCATCTTCTCAACCTTTGTTCAATATGCGTGTTTACTCTATAATATACGCGTACAGTAATCGGACTTTTTAATTTTAACGATAAATACTCTATAATTTCTAACTTTTAATGTCATGAACTCATTTCTGCTGTCATTGTAGGCTGACATCTTCTCATACGGTATAGTTCTTTGCGAAATTTTAGCAAGAATCAGTGCGGATCCGGATGAATTACCTCGTACACATGTAAGTAATCATTAATGTTAACAGTAGTAATTATAAAAATACTATTTATTACTATCATTAAACCCGTTATACGGGATCATGGTATTTACGCGTGTTGTGGTAAATTTTCGATTTTTGAGCAAGAACTAGAACAATAGTATGATTTTATATGTTGATTTGGACGTGATCAATTTATTAGTTTTCTTTTTAATTTTTAAAAATATGTAGAATTTTGGTCTTGATGCTGAATCATTTCAGCCATTAATTGATACTGGCTATCCAGATGAATTTTTTCAGTTGGCGATTCATTGTTGTCAAGTAATAATATTGGCTGTTATTAATGTGATTGTTTGATATCGTGTAGTCTTGTAGATGTGTATAATTTTGCACTACTTTCTGCATCTTAACTCGAATATTATTCTTTCATCTATGATCTTTTAAGCTTGATCCTAAACGTCGACGCAAATTTCTAGAGATAAAAGAAATAATAGCTGACATTCGAGCAAAAGTAGCAGCTACTGAAGGGCACCTACCTATCGCCGCGCTGGATAACCAATTTATTAACGATGTACCAAAGTCAAGACAGACAACAACTCTCTCGTCCAATCAACGTGAAGAAAAAGCTGGCGGTTTTACTTCATCTCATTTTGCGGCTTTACGTTTAAAGCATATTTCAGCAGATCTTAGACTTTCGACAATAGAGAAATTTTCAGCTTTAACAACAAGTCACCTACGTTCAGAACGCGATCCTTCTATTCGAGAAAGTTCAGTTAATGAGGATAAAGCGCCTGATGAATTAGAACAAGACAAACAAAGTGATCATCAAAATGGTTTTAGTGAACAGGAAGTATTTGAAGAAACGGACCAAACGCTTGCATCTGATAGCGATGTCAATACCATGTCCGATAACGCACTGTTTGATCCGTTCATGAACTCGAAATTTAGTTATGCTTTGAGTAATTTGCGAAGATCAAGTACCAGTTCTCCAAAAGTAACCGATTCTACCAAATATTACTCATCAATGCCGAATCTTAATGTTGTTCCCAAAGCTATACGACACGCAGATGATGACGTTGAGATTGAACGGGATAATGTTACTAAAATGTCCGAGCTAAACATAACAAAAATGGAGGCAGACAATATTGCTAATGTTCACGAACCAATTATTCAGATACAGGCGGTTGATACTGTTGAGGTTATAGACACTACTACTGGAGATGAGAAAGAGAACGAATTACAACAGATTTCACCGTCTTCATCTACTGTGCATGGTCTGGAAGTAAATGTCAACAAGGTTCAAGATTTGTGTCCAGGATATTCAGGGGTGACTAGAAGCGCTTCACATTGTTCACCAAAGATATCACCATTTAAGTCACCTCGTAGTAGACGATTTTAAAGTATTAACAAATTACTGTATCAACAATTTCAGAATTAATTTGAATGTTATTTCAACAAATTTTCTGTACATAGACGAGATATCTATGACTGAGGCTAAAAATTTACAACACCTTAGTAAGAATTTATTACATATTGAAAAATGTCTGGAATCGATTACAGTAGTAAGACTATATTGATTATTTTAAGTTTTAAGTTGTAACTGTAAAAGACCACACTTTTCGATATATAATAATTTTTAATTCCACTCGTATTGTGTATAAAATATGTTATAAATAACTGTCAGTCGAAATTTATTTAATTTTACTGATAACTGCATTCTTTTCAAAATTCATAATTACTAATCGTACGATTTCTAAAAGTAACTAATGTTTAACACTATATTAAAAAAGTTTTTATTCAAGATATATTATGAACTGCACATCCCAGTCAACTGTATTAATTTATTGGTATGGTAGATGAAGATAATCAAATCAACCGGATAGCTAACGAATATTGTTCCGTAATTAACTTAGCTATAAGTTGCTGAATCTTCTCACATCAGCTTCAATTGCTAGAAAATGTAGAAGTTTGATAATGCTGTTGAAACAGACTTATAGAATATTACAGTGATTAAATGTTGGTGACCAAAATAATATTTATTATTCAATTGATTAAAGGTTATGTACGAACGTTGCACATGATTAAAGACATTTAATTACCTCAGTGCGTTATTTTTTCCATTCTCATGCTTTCGTATGTTGTCTACTACTACACAATTGCGAAATTGATTAAAGTTGGCCAATATTCGTTCTCTACAGGATAGTAAGGCCCAATATGCATTTCAAAAAATGTCAATGTATTTATGAATTGTTACAATTTAGATGAATAGGACAATATCAGGATGCAGTTTTTTGCCGGTATAACAATTACTGTCTACACACTTAACGATAAATATTTTCTTACATATCTAGTTCCCTCCAACAGTCAGAACGTGACATATTGGTATTTACCTACCATTGATACTGATCAGTCAATTATGGTAGAGGTTCTGATGTAATTTATGAAAACCATCTAAGCTAAATTTAGTCCAGTTACCGAGAAGCGTCGGCTAGTTTTACCTGAATTATTTGCAATAGCCTAACGAGCACGAATAATACTAGATCGCTATTTTGACAGTATCAAAGTATCTATTTCTCTATACCATTATGCATAGCAAATGCTATAGTTAGTATGTTATCAGCTTATTTAAGCACAAATTAAGAAAGCAGGCAGCATATAAGAGTTTAAAATTAATTTATAAATTTCTCTTGATATTGTCATACAATCGCATATTGTTAGCGATGAGTTAAAACAATTGAATAGAAATGGTTATAAAATGGAATTAACTGTGTGAATATATAGGCTTAAGGCATTAGCTTAATGAAATTGCTACTGCCTACTACGAGTGTGCCGTATATACGTTGTATTACTACTATCAAGTATCAATCTTTTATATTATTACCGTTGCCGCAGATGTAGGAAAAAGATGTAATATTTAAGTATTAGACGAATCAAATTTATATCGTTCGGTATAATTTTACCTAAAGATTTCGTTACTTATTGAATCGCCCAATGAAAATCAATTTTAAAGTTATTTTATTTAATTTTTGTTCCTATATAAGATAGTAACTTTAATATAATAACAATTTTAAATAGTTGAGCAGTATCTGCAAGGGATCTTTTGTATTTTTGAATATATTATTACGAGTAGTGTTATGGTATGATATATTCAATTTTATGTTTAAATACCAGAAATTTGATAGAATTATCATTAAGCGTCATTTAATATCCATGCAGAAGAAAATAGATCTATTGAAAGCATAAACTGATGTTATACGCGTTTTACTACTCTTGAGCTACAATATTATAATATTATATATCAGAATTGTACATGAATATCAACTGGATGAGGCTTATCTGCCTTTGTACATTAGTACGTACTTTATATCAGATAGTTTCTAAATAAATATAAAACAGCCAAAAATGATCAAAGGGATTTGCGGCATTTTTAGTTACGAAGACTAAAATCTTGCATAAGAAGGATCACAGATACAGCTATATGAGGTTCATAAATTCGCTTTTATAAAATCACATCTATAGTTCATAAAGACCTACGTAAAACTGAAAGCTCAGTAAGGATACAAAGGTTCAATTTAAAGAAAAATGCTATTCTATAGTTTTATATCGCCTATAAATATCGGCAAGAATATCATATATCATCATAACGTTATCTCGTTATATCTAAAATTCTTTATACATGTAAAGCAACACGTTTCAAAGTCATATAAATAGTATAAAATTATGTTTTTGTCTAAGAATATCTGATTTTGCAGATTGCAGCTAACCTAAGTAGAAAAATTTCAACTCGAATGAAATACGAATAGATTCGTATCATATATAATATGTATATTATTATTAATGAAAGTGACTAGAAATAAAGCTTCGCACAAACAATGATAATTCACGAAATATTAAACTTAATCAAAGCATAACACTGTAATGTCATTGCCTTGATAGTTATTCAAGATGTTTCTTCCGATAATCAAATATGGAAGAATAAGAAAGCAGCTGCTTGGATTGATGAGGATTATTATATGCAATAAGCACAATTCTATTTTACATTACCCTCATGGATAGTTGTCCAACTGGTACTAGCCATGCGGTTGGCAATTTTAGTGTGGCCGCCATATCAACATCGTGATCGTTAATGACTAAGTTCGATTATGAAGGAGGAAAGATTGATTGTTTATAGATTTTTTAAATATACAGAGATGACTTGAGGTTAAATAAATCCAAGTATCTTTTAAATAATTTACAGCCAGTTGTACTTCGTGGGTTGCGCCAATAAGTCCAAGATAAAATAAAAAACAGCTAGATGCTACAAAGTTTTGTCATCAGGGAGAATGAAGCAACCACTCAAGGAACTGCATTTTTTGAAAGGCAGGAATATATGATGGTAGTTTTAATGTTATTTAGGCTTGCTGTATTGTTTTCACTACCTCTAAGGCGATAGTGATTACTATGATACCATGATACTCTTAATTATTAGAATTGGATCCAAAGCTAAAATGAAAGTATTACTGGGATCATACATGATTCCCAGTTTACTGCAACCAATTTTATAAAACAATTCATTGTTTATTTTAAGAATGAATTCGCTAAACTTTTTACTTTAGATAAAAATTCACGATTACTTGCTCAATATCTCAGTAAATATAGGTATCTTCGATATCACGTAGGATGTTAGATGAATTATGCTGAATATTACTTCAGTGATGGTGGTTGAATTGCATCTCGAAAGAGTGGATGAATTAACAATTCTTTTGCTTTAGGTCTAAATTCACGATTACTTTCTAGACATCTCAGCAAAAAATCACGCGTATCTTGTCTTAAATGCTCAGGGACTGATGGAGTTTCAGTGGCAGTAGCAATCTAAAAGGTCAAAATGCAAGCAAGACGATGATTAGTTCGTGATTAGCAGAATCTGTATTGAAATCATATTATTAATGATCAACATCTTTTTAATAATTTAATATGACGAGAAATTTGTAGGTTGGCTACTTTCGATGTACTATAATCGCATATTTTGACTCAATGATTTAATTTGAGATTTATACAAGCAAACATACTTTATAGATAAGTGCGAAGTGATTAGAAATATTATCTGCTCCCCAAGGTAACTTTCCGGTTAACATTTGGATCATAACACAACCAAGACTCCAAACGTCGCTAGATCTTCCATAATTTTCACCACGTAGGACCTTATTAAATGTTTTAAAATTTAATGAGTAATGAAAAAGAGAAATTTAAAAACTTACGATTGGAATCAGTCAGTACAGGATTATAGGTGACGTAAAATACTCGTATATTATACCTCAGGGGCCATAAAAGCTACGGTTCCAACCATTTGGCCCTGTAATAAACCTGCACCAGTTAATTTTGTTGCAGTTAATTGTATAGCAGAGCCAAAATCAGCCAATTTAACTATACGACCGGTCGCATCGACAAGGATATTATCACCTGCAATTAGCGCAATTATGATTAATACAAATGTGTACGATATTTCTCTACTTATTTATATATATTAAATCTAACGTATATGTCTTCGATGTACGGATTTTGAATTTATCGATAAATGAGAATCAGGGTACTTATGCAGGATTGCTGACTTAATAGATATTTAGTTGATTACACCTAAGTCAATTAACATACCTTTAACATCACGATGCACAATCCTTCTATCATGGAGGTAAACTAAACCTCGTAATATCTGTAAGCAATAAGCGTTGCTAATATTCTCTTGAAATGGCCCATAGTTGTGTAACATAGAAGCAATGCTACCACCTAAGGATTTAATATGATTTAGCATCGGCATATTAAAAGTATTGCTAGATAAAGTATAATTCGACATGTTTATTGAAAGTTCTATTTACATCAGAATCATGTTATTGATTTATTCTATACGTAAATATATCCATGATAGCAAAAGCTGCTTAGCTAATTTGAGCTTACCTGCCAACCATTCAGCAAAGATATTAAAATGTGAATCTTGCACAGTTGCACCATAACAGCGAACAATGTTAGGATGATTTAGACGATTGAGCAAGGAAATTTCTTTAATTAAACTTTCATAAACTTGCTGCTGTTCTTCAGCGGAGTTTCGACAATATGCAACCTGTCGATTACGTATTTTGCAATTAAATCATAAGCATAAATACCAATTAATGCTCTTTAATATTTATTATGAAATTATTTTCTATGCGTTAAACTCACTTGTTTAACAGCCATTAATGTTCCACTCTTGATATCTCGAGCAGCATAGCATGTTGAATAAGCTCCTGTGCCTAACAGCTTGCCTTTCTGCCATTGAGAATTTTCGAGGTAAGTGCTGTCAATATCTTTGAACGGATTCTCACTCTGATACAAAATTTATAGATATCCAAATAGTTAAAGTCGAGAAAATTTTGTACAGTTATCGTTGTATTTATTTATAATTAACTATACTAGCAGAATTGTTAATTTACAGTATCAACTTTTAAATAAATATTACATCTTATTAAATAAACAAAATTGATATTATATCGATTGAGTATTTGTGAGTCTAAGTATACATGTATTGGATTGAAAACAATATGGATTTTGGTAAATTTATAGCAATATGATAATCTTGAGTAACGAATAATCCATAGAAAACTAGGCAGATACAAGCTGCAGCGATATAAAAATTATTGGATAATATATGTTTTTTGCTCCTCCTTTAATGCTTACCTTACAATTACCCTTTAAAATCAAATTAGTTGCTGCTTGTAATTCATTAATGGGTGGAACGACATCCTTTTTGATTTCGGAATAGCTCAGAGCCATAGTTAGCGCTAGAGCATCTTCTTCTTCGACTTCTTTCTTATTTTTAGGAGGATCTCTAAAGACTCTTGTCGATGATAACGACATTTCTTGTAATTGATCAGCTGCATTACTAATAACTCGGTGAGTATCGAAACCTTCCGACGACGTATCATCAGCTTCATGTATTTGATCATCTTCTGGTAGGGTACGATTCTCATTTTGATTATTCTGATGGGCATAATGATTAGCAGCGGATGAATTCTCTGTACCTGTCAATGATTCGATCGTTTGAGACTTGACGTAGGCCATATCTTGGATTCCACTGTCATTATTTTCATCATTCAGTAACGTGGATTGTTTTAGGTCTTTGCCTGATTGATTTATCCAGGGTAATCGGCATAGCGGGCATATTAAGTGATCATTCTGCCTTTTGCATTCTCCAGCCCCTAGGACAGATAAATTTTTGTTTACTAATTATATAACTTTGATAATTATTATTGAATTAACCTTAAAGGAAATTACTAGTTTAAGAATATAGAATTAGTTAGGAGCATCAAGGTAAATAAACAAGAATGATCACTCTAAGTAATATTAGCGAAACTAGAACCTATTTTCTTTAGAATTAGCGCATTAGTTTCCTACGCGGTTGTTATTATGACCAGCTTATGTTAGGAAATTGCATATGTTTTAGTACATCTAGCTTGTATTTCTTACATATAGACATGCAGTGATGATGGAGCCAATTCTTGCAATGAGGGCAATCCACCATACTTTCACCATCAATCATTGGCAGTAAACAAATAGAGCAAATTTCATCATCTTTAGTACCGGCATCTCCTGGAGCTTCTTTAAATGGCATGGTGGGACTTGATGCTTGTTCATTTCGTTGATTTTCTTGCTTAGTAGAAGTATCGGTATTGTCATTTCGAGATGATCTTGATTTGCATCTGTTCTCAAATCGCTCGATTAATCCTTCAACCTATTAGTGTGAAATATTTTTAGCTTTAATTAATTGCATATTATCTAATAAAAGGCTTCCAATTGCCAAAGAAAAGTACCGTAGTTAAGAGTACTCGCTCTAGTATACTCATATAATTATAATTTATCAACTCTTTTATAAACGGATTTAAAATATGCATTGATGAGGAGTGTTCAATTTCTAAGCATCATAAACTACTATGCAGATTTATAGCTTAATACACAGTAGCGTTAAGGTAAGATGGCTTATCGAGCTATTTATATGACGCTAATGAAGTAGTTAATTTAATTCTTATTACGTCGACTAATTGTGATAGACAAATTGAATTTCTGAGCGTCATGTTATATTTCTTAACGACTACTTGTCGAGACTTACCTCATAGTTTAACAATGATCTCCTCCAAATAATTGGTTCTGAAGGATCCAAGGCGAAAACTCGCAACATAATAAAGAGTAGATGAATACAAAATTGCCCTTTTCCACAGCTACATGTCTAATATTGATAAATAAGAAATATTATTCCAATAGAAATTAATATTCTAGAGTCATGGAAAATTTTCAAGAGGATCAATTTTGCTACCTGAGCTCCAATAGTTACACGATATTTGTGATTCGGTGAATCACTGGTTACTATAAATACTCGCTGACCAACTCGACGTAGTAAATATAATCTAGCTCGTAGAACTTTATCAACGCGCTGCTTAGCAGAGGCTAATAATTCGTTTCTAGCGGTATCCGCTGGTGATGCTGCTCTTCGTCGCGCTGGCGAACTTGATCGTGAGGATCGTCCATTGGCAGGCGGATTGGTATTTGAATTTGTTTGCGAGCTTCGAGAAGGCGCATTTGCTGTCCCATCTGCTCCTGGTGATGCTGGTTTACCATTGGAATTTTTACGTTGTGGTAACTTTTTCAGAGGTCCTTCTTGATGTTGGCTACCCTGATTTGTATTACTATTGGTGTAATGATGTTTGGCAACCTAGTTATTGAGTAAAATGCCGTAGTAAAAAGAAGGATAAATATTTATTACTCGGTAATTCGATTTAGTGCTGACTTCCAAGCACCGATTTATATTCGATGCGAATTTGCATGCTTGCATCGAGTTAACATTGATTAGTTTGATTAATTATGATAGTTCTCTTATACGATCAAGAATAGAGAAACTATTATTTAGTTTAATGAATGCTATGATCTTGGCTGAGTTTGTATTACATTATCAATTATGTATTTAGTGCAATCTGAGCATACCGTATATCTTAATCGCAAATTCAAAACTCTTAATTAAATTATTGCTTTTCATAATCTTTGGCAATTGGTGAATGTAGTATGATTTTTTCGACATAGAATACTAAATGAATCGGTAAATTTGATAATATATTCTGTACTTCATAGAGAAAGATAACCACTTTAGCTTATTAATTAGATCATACTTTTAGTGAATTCTAACTTAAATTAATTATTACTAGAAGTTTGGTTAAATTTGCTATATTCTCTAGATGCGTAGTATCTTTATTCTGATTGATACTATCTTACATACACGTATACCATTTTATCTTGATTTACTATGTAGATTTTGTTTTTATTAACGTTCGATATACTGTACGCATGTAATATTAAGGCTAAAGCTGTCAAGAGTTCTAAGTATTCACAGTCTTTGACATACCAAAGGCTTATTTTCTTTCTTTTTACTGACAAGATGAGATGCTTTTAATTTCTCTCGTATTTGCGATTTAGGAATAGCCGATTGTGATTGATCGATAGGAGCAGCAGTCGAAGCAGGTAAAGCCTTCGTCGGCCTATAACATGGAGATTAAAATGTTCAGCATAAACATACAATTTACAACTATCTAAACCTATGCAAGTCGTAGATGATGGCAATTATATTACTATTAGCATCCCCTTGAAATCAATGAACTCTTGATTTCATAAGAATTATTCATTAAAATGCTAACGGGAATCTTTTTTGAATAAAAATCTAGCTAACTGACCGTACAGAGAAATGCCTGTAAGATACTGATATGGCAGCATATAGTCCCGAGCGTAAGACCTTGCTACAGTATAGCCCTTAGGACCAAAATTAAGGAGTAGTAGCCAACATTTTAGGGTATGGATAAAATAGGCTAAAATATTCATACTGGCTAGTATAGCTAATTAGATCATATTCTTGATATCTAAATAGCAAGAACTCAAGGATATCACGTTTTACGAAGATTCGTACAAGTTTCCCTTCCGTAAGGAATAGCTGAAAAATTTACTATCTGATCAGCTAGATTTAAAAATGTAACATAGGACCAGGGTTAGAGCTGTGGTAATAAAATGATGTCTAGCGTAGTATCAGTATAATCATAAGAGAAGATCTTGATTTTAGAAACAAGTCTGTTACTTCTTGATGGCAATATTAACTTGTGGGTGTAAAGTGAGGATCTAATACATCTCTTTATAATTCATTAATGTGCAACTGTTTGAAAGGATGTTAAAACTAAATTAACTTCTTACGATATTTAACCTAGAAATAGAAGCAGTAAAATAAAGATTCCCATAGCAAGCAATGATCTTCAATTGACGTAGGGATTCTGTATACTTTAAATACTTTACCAAAGAGCTTAGGTAGAAGGCTCTATTGCTTACCAAGTAATCCATGATTTACAGATTATTACAAGATATCTGTACATACAACCCATAACCACAATGGATAGGTATATATAAAATTTTAGGGAAGCTAAAGAGCTTAATATTAAAATTGTTGGAATTGAATTAGAATATTAGCATGAAATTGTTCCTATACCGTGAAAATTGAGAAGGATTAGCATTGAGTGATTATAATTTGCCCTAGTTTAAGGTATCGTAAACTTTAGTAAAGGGTATGAGCAGCAAATAATGAGGCAGAATGTCCCATTTTATATCTGACACCATAAATCTGCAGCTGAGAAAGAGATTATTAGTGCCAATTATTGTCTTGATAGTCGAAGCATGATTGTCGACATAAAACATCTCATTTTGGATCGAAAAGTTATCTTGGCAGTTGAATAATGGGTTACCAGTATAAAGTAGTTTCTGAATACTGTACAGTGTGCCAATGCGAGATAAATACTTCACTTTTGAATCTAAAAGCATAATTCTGTAGCTGATCATGGATTTCTAACGCTAAATATGTGTAAGTTCTAAGCAATCTGCTTGCATCGGGTTAAACACGAAATATCGAGATGAATATCACAATTTGTATGACATTAAACAAAAATATTCTAAAAATCTCACTTTTGGATTTAATAGCTTAATCGAACAATCGATTAGAAAATGAGCTAATAGCAATAACTGATTTCGTGATAATTTCATTTGTATTACATTAAGTATAAAACATCTTAATAAATAACTCCTTTGGGAGCTGAAAGCATAATCTGATCATCGCATTAGAGATATTGGTATGCCATTGTACTGTCATAATTTATTAGCATTAGTACAAATATAATCCATAGGAATAAAGTAGCTCATTTCGGATTAATTAGCATCATTTAAGAAGTAAAAAAGGAGCTATCACATTAAGTAATTTCCCT